GGACACCCCATCACACAACACTTTCAAGCACAATTTTAAGTTAGTTTGGACACGCAACCTTGAGGGGCAACGGCAATGTTGGTTTAGATGTAACACCAAATTGCGCCTCTAGAAGCACGGTCATAGTGCGAGTTCTACCGAAGGTGATCCCAGCTAATCCGGGGCAGGCACGTCCTTGTCCTGCTTATTGGATTTTCGATCTGTTACGTTAAGCTTGAGTAATTGGAAACTGGAATAGTTGTTCTCTTGTGCAATTTGTGAATCCCTGTGGTTGGGATGTTCTGTATCAACCTCTTTCCATTGTTAAAGAGAGTGAAAACATGGATAAGTAGGCTCTTGGAAGTAATATGCTTTCTTTCTGGTGACAGATCATATACAATATAGAGGATACATAGAGGTGTTCTTTTGCTTCAGGTCATTATTTTCTTCCTCTTTTGCAGCTAACAAGGATGGAGCGGAAGGTTCATTCCGCCAAACAGCAGGAGTCAATTTATTGGCATTTAGCATCACACGGTATACCAAAAGGTCTTCATTGCCTTTGCCTGAAACTGGCTGAAGAATATGCAGTCAATGCTATGGCTCGGTCTCGTCTACCTCCACCTCAATATGTTCCTCACCTTGCCGATCCTCACTTCCATCATGTTGTCCTCATAACTGATAATGTCCTTGCTGCCTCGGTTGTGATCTCTTCTACTGTACAAAACTCAGCTAAACCTGAAAAATTGGTATTTCATGTGGTCACCGATAAGAAAACATATACTGCTATGCATGCCTGGTTTGCCATAAATCCAGTCAGGTTAGCTGTGGTTGAAGTTAAGGGACTGCACCAATATGATTGGTCTCAGGAAGTCAACATTCGTGTCAAGGAGATGATAGATTTTCATCGTCTTTTATGGAGACACTTCTACAGGAATCTGAAAGCAGAGTACTTGGATGAAGCAGAAGGAAAATATGTCGAGGCTCTCAGTCCCAGCAACCTTTCCCTCTTGAATCATCTCCGCGTTTTCATTCCCGAGGTAATTCTTTAAATAGAGAGTCTGCTGCCCCAGTGGATGGCAATAACTGTGAACTTTGTATTTGATTTTTAGCTGATTTCCACGGTCACAGCTGTTTCCAGATCTAAACAAGGTGGTGTTCTTGGACGATGATCTCATAGTTCAACGTGACTTATCTCCACTCTGGGAATTAAATCTCAAAGGAAAAGGTGTCGGTGCAGTTGTCAATTCATGGTGCGGACATGACTGCTGCCCAGGAAGACAGTACAAGGATTACTTGAATTTTTCACACCCTACTATCTCATCCAACTTTGATTCGGATCGTTGTGCATGGTTGTATGGGCTTAATGTTTTCGATCTGGAAGCCTGGAGGAGGAGTAACCTCACAAGAAATTACCTAAACTGGCTGAAAAAGGTGAGCAGCCTCTTTGGTTTCATAGTTGTCGAGTTATTGCCGTGACTGATTCCATAATATCAATCTCCCACTATTGGATGCACTAGACTATGACTTCTTTGCTGTAGCATTCCGTTTTTCGTTTTTCCAAGTGCCGTAGCATTCGGTACCTGAAAAAGAATTCTTTGATTAGAGCACAGCGCACTTCCTTTTTCAATGTCCATCCTTTATGTTTTTGTTTGCTTAAAATCTTTAGCCATATTTTCCTATGCACAGAGCCTCAATTCGGGATTGGAACTATGGATTCCTGGAGTTCTTCCACCAGCCTTGATAGCTTTTGAAGGTCATGTGCATCCAATTGATCCTTCATGGCACCTGGCTGGATTGGGCCATCGGTTCCCGGACACTCAGGAAAGGCTAGTGGAAGCTGCCGCAGTTATACATTTCAGTGGCCCTGCGAAGCCATGGTTAGAAATCGGATCGCCCGAGGTACGGAGCTTATGGTACAGGCACTTAAATCCCTCAAATAAGTTTATTAGAAAATGTAGGATAACCGGTTGAAGAGGACAAAGATGTCTCTCGGCCCTTTTTATCTGGAGACTAGAGCAGATATAAGGAAGGGAACAGAGGGAAGAAGGTATTGCCTTCAGTCTCTGCCCTAGGCAAATGTTACAGAATAGCCTGTTTATAATAGAGAGAAAAAGGATGAAGATATATTGTCCTAGGTATATACACCATAGTCAGGTTCAGCCACTCGGTGTATACAGAATTATGCAAATCTTTGACACTTATGTGAAGTAGTCTGGTTAGATGGAATAGATTGTGTTCAATAAGTGTTAGAAATGATCTGTAATTCCTACCAAAGAGGGGATTACATTCTCTCGTTGTCGGCGATTCAGCTTTCCTTTCTTCCCTTTACCTTTCTAAGAAGTAACTTGCATCAAAAGCAATACTTGAAAGCAGCGATGCTTCACACTGTTTAGGACATAATTAGTCTCAAGAGCTCCCTGTGGACTCAAGAAGGAGATTCGAGCGAGACCATTGCCTCCCTGGAGGGGATGATGCCACGGGGATTCGGAGTGGATGCGATATATAAACGAAATTGTTGTATTGAGATAGTAGCATTCAGTGCAAATCTCTCGGGTTTCTTGATTGTCGAAAGATATGGCATCGAAATTCAAAATCAGTTGCTTCAAGCCGTGTGGATTTTACTCGGAAGGAGAGTGGAAAAGCTTTCACTTTTGCAACGACTGCTGTCCCTCGACAAGCTCCCCTGTTTCCATGCCTACCCATCTCAGCCAATACTGTCCATACCCACAAGAGTAAAACGCTTGAAAATGAAGGTTGATTTTGCATGGGTTTGTCCAGAATTGGCAAGTTCGTAACCTGGAATAGAAAGGACATATGACACCCGCGATTTTTTTTCGGTCGCAACCCGTGATTAATTTTGCAGCTATACATCTGTTTAAAGAATTCTCCCACCCTTTGCATACGAGATTATAATAGGTTTTATATTGATGTAGTCTTTCTTCACTCAACAAATTAAACCTGAGAACAAACTATCCATTTCCGTTCACTTGGTCATCATCCACTTTGCGATCAACTGATGTTGGTTTCCAAGATTACTCACCGGTGGGAAACTATCGCCATTCGAATGCGATAGATCGAAGACATCGCTAAATGAGATAAACTATCCTTGGCGAGTAAACATGCCTCAACATATAAGAATCCTCGTCTTCCAAACACTTGCGTGTACGATACATGCATGCAAGGTTAATCAGTGAAGATAAACATTCAAGAGTTGATGATCGTGTCTTTTCTATTTTTCATTCTTTCTTTGTTTTGGGTCACTGAAGATAATGTGTTTCCAGTCACCTGTAGTGACTAGTAATCTGTGGAAAACGGAAGAAAAAAGGTGTACCAAAGAGGCGAAAAGTCGGGAGAATGCAATCACGACGCAAGCTACATATCGAACAAAATTTGTCTATCAAACCTATGGGGGCAATTTATATTATATGAAAATGGCTCATGCATGTGATCTTGACAAATCGAGCAGCGACTTTAGGTTCGCAAAAGCTGATGTTTTTCCTTAAACCTTTTTTTTGTGGCTGGTCTTAAATTTTAGTTTTCTTCATTCCAAGGATGCGATAATCCTAGAACAATGTCAATAGAAATCACATTTCAAATCGATGATGATGAATGTGGGCTGTGTTTTCAAAAAGAGAGAGAGAGATTAGAGATTGTATGACTTGTGAACAATATGGTGTGGCTGAGGGATTACTTTTTGGCGATTCTTTCTTTCTTTCTTTCTTCCTTTCATGTGAAATCAGGGAAAAGAAAAAGGGCCAACACCAAAAGAGGGACGGTTTCTTGTGCTGCGCTTCAGTACTGTGTGTTCAGAAAAAAACCAGAAGCAGCCGTCCTTGTAATGCATGCCCGTGGATGAATATTGAGCAGGCAAAAAGACGAACCAAATAGTCATGACGATGACTTCACAGTGAATAAGTCCTAGCCACATAGCTTGCTTGAGCGATGGGATTAGCAAGTAAGGTTGATTTATTAGAGATGACCATCTTTTCCATAGCAGAAGTTGCACTAGAAAATATGCGCGAAATCCATAGATTCACACTTGAATTCACCGGCCCTTCTAGTTGTTCTTTTGGATAATTTGGGGGTCTGAGGGACACTTAATGCAGAATCTATCTTGTAGTTTGAGATTAAGGAAATCATAGAACTACAAACTCAAATCTGCACATAAACAAATGAACAATTAACTAAAAACTAGGAAAGTCTGCCACCTTATTAGTTTCTACCATGCTATCAAATTCAGTACATGTTCTAGATTTCATAAATTTGACGTATGTTTCCCACTTCGCACGCAAGACGTCACTTACTTCATTCATCAAGTGCTCGCATTTTTCATCACCCATAATGGTTCATATGAATGTCTTCTACATATGGAGATACAAACGTCATATGTCTGGCTAGTTCAAGGTTTCCAGATAAGTTATGTTAATCTCAAACAGGTGATGCTAATTAAACATAATACTTTGCTTAATCGGTAGGTACGAGATCAAAGATCTCTAAACATAATTAGATGGTTGAAACTAGGATGATTGACGCATCTTTGAGTGGTCCTTCGTTGCATAACATGTGAGGAAGGCCGTTAGCTGAATCATGCTTCACACAAGCACTTGACAGAGAAGAGGAAAGGGAGAAAGAGAACAAGAAAAAACACCAGACTTCATGTGAATGCAAGGACAAGAGTGCTCGAAGCTTGGCTTTTCCAACTTTTCATTTATGCTGCAGGAAGAGGGGTTTTCTACGTATATTCCTCGCAGAGAACAAAAGAAACCTTAAACTTTTGACGAAATTAATCGTCAACATGATAAAACAAATGGTATAAAGCGACACAGAAGGAACGATACAATCTTTTGGAATCCTTCCTATGCACGTTTACATGCATGTGTGGATTTAATATTTTCTTTTTGTTTGGTCTACGTGTTTCCTTTTACTTGTTGTTGGAGGAAGGAAGACTTCTTGCCCACACAATGGAGATCATTCTTTTCTTCATGCCATCAACCCCTTAACGTCTTATATACTTGGCACGTCTAATTCCCCGTTTCAAAATATTTCTTCCAAGTCTAGATCAATTCATCAAGACCTTGTAGATCCACGCAAGTTCAGCGATAATGGGTGTTATTGGAGTCGTCGCTAGACGCTTGGACACGTTCATCGGGTACGTAGCTATATCGTAGTGCATGTCATGCATAAACCGGGAGATTAATATTGTGAACGCTTTTGTTTTGATCTACATCTACGTGATTAAGTTGTGTTAGGAGGATGTGATCGGTCATTCAAAATGGACTAATCAATCAGTCTAGACACTGTTATAGTCATTGGATCATACATATATGAAGCACAATATCTATATTATTTCCTATTGTTTGAGCAAACGTGAAATATTTGGATCTTGTCGGGCAATCTCATATTGGCCAAATCTGATAAGTTGTTGGTTTTCCAGCAGGCCTGGAGTGATGCTTGTTTTTCCACTGTAAGTTCAAGTCTACCGCACAATACTATCGTTTCGTCATTAAATTGATAATGTCGAAGAAGAGTGCGAAATCGGGAACACTGATGATAATCAAATGGTTGATCGTTGCAGGTATGCATCCATGAGAGCGATAGAGAGCCCCACAACCCTAGATGATCAGCAGTGGCTAACCTACTGGGTCTTATACTCCTTCATAACGCTATTCGAGCTATCTTGTTCTCAAATTCTAGCATGGTAATAAATGCATGCATGCCCATGCACGTACCTTTACGTTCAATTCTCTTCTATATGTTAGTTAATCGAGTACCTTGCTGTATCATTCGCAAATATCAAGCATGTGCGTAATGTTGATCGCGACATATGTATCAGGCTACCCTTCTGGCCGTATGTAAAGCTTGTGTTCTGCATGTGGCTGGTGTTACCAATCTTCAATGGAGCTGCATATATTTACCAGAATTTTGTGAGGAAGTACGTGAAGATCGGTGATTACGTGAGCTCACATTATTCGGACAGCCAAAAGAAGGTCCTTCTCATGATGAGCCTTGATGCAAGAAAGTCTGTCGAGCGTTTCATCGAAAGATATGGACCCGATGCTTTTGATCGAGTCATCAAAGCGGTAATATTTCTTTTTCTTTTTCTTCCATAAAGAAGACAATTTCTCTTTCTCTAACAGAGACTTTATCTTCTTGATCTCAAATTAGCCGATAATCGTGCAGGCCGAAAAGGAAGCGAAGAAGCAGAAGGAGGCGAGATCTTAGTTCGTTCCTTCTTTATATACTTCACGGAAAACTCAAACATATATGGAACTCGTATTCACAGTTCTTCGTGTAAAGAACACTTGAGAATGGTATATATTCACGTTGAACTCAGTATAAAAGATTATTTTGTGTTTAGTTGGCCGTGTCCGTTGTGAATGTAACAACTTAAGGCTATAAAACATGGTGCTGTTCTTAATTTGGAGCATGCATGCATGTGCATGTAACAAGCGATGGCGACGAAACGCTGGTACGTGCAAATCTTTAAATGAAATTCCAGAAGCAAACCAAACCTTCCATGATCCACATGTTAAGCCCAACCGGATCGTTACGCAAGATAACCGCACGTACAATACTGAGATCAAGTTTAAAAAAAGATTAATTGATCGCATAAACCTAAGGAGGATCACAGGACATGAATAGATAAAACCCAGCAAAGCCTATGAGCTCTAAAGCAACCGTAAATACAAGGTTCTTACTTCATCTTAACTCTGGTGGCAAACACGAGTTCTTCCAGAATTCAAGCACCCGAGAAAACAATCCAAAAATTACTGACACAGAAATCAAGAGTTTGCAGAACTAAATTAACGCGGCACCAAAAACACATGCTACAATTACATTAGAGAAACTAAAGGAATAATTAACCAGCCTCTCGAATTGGCTTTCACCGCCCCAAAATGCTTGCCAAAAATCACCTGAAAACTAGGGAGAAGCGATATTACACATCTATGAAGTCACTCATTGAAGGGCAATAGCAGCCGTTCTTCCTCAATCACTCAAACAGCAATTGCCTGGAATAGGAGAATCAGCAATTATGAAGCACGGCCTTCATATTCTGTTGGAGTAGAACCTCGTCCACTAAAACTCATATATCTTTGCCGACTTCACTTGAGATTCCGGAACCCTAGTGACTCCAGCAAAAGGGATCGTTGAATGAATGGGCACGGAGTTATCACAGTCCATATTCATACTCGGTTTCAAAATGTGCTTTGCTCCAGCGCTCAGTTTTGTCGGACCTGGTTTGGCAGCTTCAGACAGTTTAAATGACTGACCACCAGGCAAACTTATTAACCCATCCTTCTGAGTCCCATCCTGAAGACATACTGTGCTGCTTGCTCTTTCCCCGTTTGAGTCAAGCTCGGGTGATGGATTCACTCTCAATATTGGCAGTTCCACTCCATGCCTTTGCAGTTTTAAGTTTGGCTTATCATGCTTCTGGAGATCGTCCGCTCTGACGGCAGGCCTCTTCTTGGTTTTCTTACAAAAAGCGGGAATTTTAACACCGGAAGACTTTGACCTTGTGCCATCTCCTAAATCAGTTCTGTTTCTATAGCTCATGCTAACAGCAGAAGTCGGCTTACTCCGTGGGAGCACAGGCACAAATGGTGGGCGTGGGCAAGCTATAGATGACGCAACCAGAGGATTGTTCACTTGTGAAGCCAGGGTATTGTAGGGAAAAGAAGTAACTGGTGGATAATGCACATGTGGAGTGGAGAAGAAGTTGTTTGCAGGTGTACCATAGGAATGATGAATGCTGCCTCTGTCACAAAATGGTTGATACTGAGGACTTGGGGCACTTCCCCACTCTGATGCATTTGGTATTGGTCTCCACAGGGATAGATCCTTAGAGAAGCTCTTCAATTGTGACGGTGTACGCTCTCTAGAATCTGGGGCTGGACGACTGAAAGTAAACCAAGGAGGTAGTTCCTTATGGGAGCTTGGTAACTGCCACTGCTGTGCCATTTGCTTATGTTCTCTAAAATCTGGACTTATAAAAGGAAAAGTCGGAGCTGATGTTTTAGGATGAGGTAGATTCTGCTGGTTCTTGAGCTCTGGACCCCTATTCATCTGTTGACAGCTCTGATGAGAAACGGATCGTGAAGCTAGTTGAGAGTCTGCTCTTAATGTTTCAGCTCCAACCATAAAGGGCTCAGGAAGGTTAGTCAACTGAAAAAACAAAGGAGAATGAGGATGGTGATTAGATGGTCGGTGTTCAAACTTGGGATTTCGTTGTGCTGAAACTTTGCCATCTGGAAGTAATACATCACTTTGCCAGCCAATGCAGGGATTGGAAACTAAGGATTCAGGAGCTTTTTGGGGCAATCTGAGATGAAATGCGTTTTGACTTTCAAATGCGGGGTGTAGAGTTCCTTTTGGTTTTCTCTGAGCTGAATATGCAGACCAGTCATGCAAGAGAGGATTATTCTCCGAGAAACTGTTTTTCACACTACTTGAAGGATGATGCTCTATTATGATTTGTTTATCAGTCCAAATTTTCCCATCCTCAGATCCATGTGTCTCCCTGCTGCTTCTACCAACAGCAACATCTTTTCCCATCAGCCGCATCGTCACTGGGGTAGTAGTTGGCGACACATGATCCGCATTTTCCTTAAAGAAAATCACTCCCTTTCCTTTTGGGTTCTCAAATAGGTCATACTGTCTGCAAGCATTGACAGGGATGTTTGTCTGGTTTATGTCAGCATCAAGCAGGTAAGCCGAACTGCTATGCCTTTCAGAATTTTGCCAGAAGACATCAGCTCTGCTTGTTGTGTCTTGAGATTCCATGCCACCTTGGTTGGACAGCAAGAGCAACCCCGAGTTCTCTACAGAAAAATTCTTCATGGGAAACAAGTCCAGCTGATCTTTTTCGCGTGCTCTTTCTATAATACGATGCTCTTCCAATCTTGACCTGTCTCCAGTATTTCTTGATTGAAGCAGACTCTCATTAGGCAAGAAATTTGAGGAACCCGGTACCACGTCCCACTTCTTTACCTGGGTAGGCATAGGACCACTTGAGTTCAGCTGAATCAGCTCACCATGTGAATTGAGAGGTAAGCCCAGAAAATCCTCATCCATAGATTTTCCTGTTAAGGAAATTATTCTTTCGCTCCACTCAGGCTTGTGAGACAAGTTACCACTCAAATTCCTCGGAGGAAGAGAACATAATGGTTGTTTAAGTACAGCATAGTCAGCTGCATCTTCCACTGAAGACACTGATGACATGGAAAGCCTCCCACTCAAACTTCTGTTGATCGCAAAACAAGATGAAGACGATCTTGTAGCTGCAATTGCCATTGGTTTCTTTCCACAAAAATCATGGTTGGGACCAACAAAGCGTTTCATCAACTCTGTACCAGAATTTTCAGGCCTAAAAGCACTACTGGCTACACTAACATTTGAGCATGACGCAGCCCTTCCATTCACTGCCTCTCGGAATGTAGAGTAGTCCACATTTTGGGGGCTGTCGTGCACAGCTAACTTCATTGGACCATACATTTTGAAATGCTCATGGGAAACCCTTGTAATTTGACTTGGTGAATTGGATTCATCTGAAAGATTCACAATATCCTGACAACTAGCTTGAGGACTCACATGATTTCTTATATCAGCATGATGACAGGTATCTGGCAATTGTCCTTTTTTAGTAATGGCTTGATCCTCAAATCCGTCTTTCCCACTATCAGAGAGGTTGTCCCCAGCTCCAATTACTTGGACCAGATCTCCTCCTCTTCCAATCAACTGACCATGGTCCTCATCTGCAGGAGCATCAAGCACGTACATAAAACAAATTTTCAAAGTTTAGCTCGAGTAAAATTTAATCTTAAACTATGCAAGGGACCCTTGCCTGTGTAACCTGGATGCCTGCGGGGTTGTTGAAGACTGGCCTGAGGATTTGATTTTGCTTGGTTCCCTGACTTATCATCCTTAATCAAGAACCTTACATGCTTTTCAACTAGTCCGGTCTGAGAATTTACATGGGCACTGCTCTGTCTGTTACAGACTGTAGAATCTTGCCCAGAATAAGATCTTGCGCGTTTTTTGAGAATTCCGCGAACAGGATATTCTGGTTTCAGGCGCTTGGCAATAGACTTACATGGTTCCATAGCTTTATGCTTCTTTGATGAAGATAAGGACTTCAGACTGGGCTTTTCCTTATTTACGCTTGCAGCATCTAGTATGTCACTTTTATTCTTCTCGATGCATAAACAATTTAAATTTCTGCTCAAATGGGATGCAATTTTCCGCCTGAGCTTTGGACTACTCTCCTGAAACAAATTTATAAGATTTCAGCTATACGATAAAAGAAAGACTTTCCATCTGTTCAACTCTGGCATAATTTAGTAGAAGAGCCTGGCCACAAAAGAAATTCAGTTTTTGGCATTAGGTACTGATACTGCATAGAAGCACTTTAGCTTCAACTGATAATAAGCATGTGCCCATATGCACGTTGGATAGAATCTTGCCTAAAATAAGATCTGAGAAGCATCGTCGATTTCCAGATTTATGCATGTGGCACTATGATGAAGCCCATCACTATAAACAAATCTTCATCGATAGCTAGAGTTATACCTGATGCAGCAATTTCCACCTATTACTCCTATTTAGACCAGAAGAAATCACACATTCCTTCCCTTCCTTCCATCATGTGCAATTTTCGAGTTTCTTGGATCGACAAATGTTGGCTGTTAAAGCCATGGAGACTTTCCAGCTTAAAGAAACATAGAAGATGCTACTTCTACGAGGCTATCAGACAAAATCTCCAACTTTATTTTTAGGCCATCATGTCGATTTTTCAACAGCAAAGCATTACCAGAAAAAAATGATCACTCAAAGGCCCTTGGAGCGGGATCAGTTGCCCAAGTACTTGTCCAATTCATGGCATAAGCCATATACCTTATTCTAAGCCTAACTCATGTTCCTCTAAACATGGAGCGGGATCAGTTGCTCAAGTACTTGTCCAATTCATGGCATAAGCCATATACCTTATTCTAAGCCTAACTCATGTTCCTCTAAACTAAAACCAAATAAAAAATGCTCATCTCATGAAATCTAATCAATCAAGGTCAAATGGATGCCTGCAAAAGGAAAGCATCTCTCTTTTCATCAATTATGCTGGCAAAGGAAGGAATCTTGGAGCCTTTGATAAAGCTAGAATGAAAAAGATATAACCTTTCAGTGACCTATAAGACAGATAATTTTTATAGTCCTGAAGAAATGGTTCTCTACATCGTCTATGAAAGAAGTCTTTTAAGTATGAACATCAGGGAGTATGAAATCTGCAACGGAAGCGGCACCACCGTCGCCCATTTAAGAAGTCAAGAAATTATGGCCGTATGACTCCCCAAGCTATTGTCTGCTCCAACTTTCACCTCCTACCTTTGTGTCTTTTCTTCATTTCCAAGTGACTCAGATCTCATTGCCAACAATAAAACTTAGAGAACACAGTAAAACACAATTTCACCTTTCACCGGTAATCTCCATGTATATAGACGTGTCAATAGATGACATTCATGAGAAGCAATTGGGGGCAAGTTGATGGCAAGGTTTAAGTATTGGCTCAATTCACCGGAATTACCACTCTGAAGTTCTTATAGGTGGGCCCAAATAGAAGAATTTGACATTCAACTTGTCCATTCATATAGTTGAGCCCCGATACAGACTTGACTTTTAGGCTGATGCTAGACCATATGTTCTACAATTTAACAGTGATATAACCACATATTAAGAGTTCCCGTGAGTTTCATTCCGTGCCAATTTAAAGTTAGATAATAGAGAGTTAAATAAGGTAATCTTGGCCAAATTAACCTCTTGTATCTTGCAGGTGATTTTATCAGCACCCTCCGATCAATACTGGCCTTCTGTCAGAACTGAAAGTTTCGGATAGAGTAGATAATGATTAATAAGTTAAACATTTGACTAGTGCATTGTTTTCTAGGATGTATATTTCCCAAAAGGAAAACTTTTTTTTTCCTTTGAGGACGCTATTATAATATAACAGCTAACAAAGATGACATTCCATCATTGAAGCCTAGATTGGATACAATCCCGATAACACTTGCAACTGAAAAGTCAATAGAAAAGAAACCAATTCAAGTCAGAAAAGCTAAGGATCCTATTGGAGCCAATACAAGCTCCAAAATAGATGCAGATGCTCCGGTATGAATCAGCAATCAGTAAGAACAAAGTAAAGATTGAAAGTGGTTGTCACCATAACAAGAATTCCAGCATATTGAATGCATATGAAACCTGATTCCTAGACTGGAAAGTCAGACGAGTTATCCCTAGTAGAGAAGTCCACATAAAATTAGCAGAAAGAATGAACTCATGCGCTCTACTTTGACATGAACACGCAAAAGCACTATTATCATCCTTCATATACAATCATAGAAAATCTTCTAGTGCAAGATATCTTGCTAATGATACTTAGACGAAGCGCCAAAGAAGTCGGGATATCTTGCCAACTACACCTAAACATACATTGCATATTTTGACACGTCGACATCGTATGTAATTCAGTGAATGTATCGTCTAATTAGTTATGAATGGGCATCGCATAACTTTTGCAAGAACCCTAATGGTCTGGACTAGAGCCTGTACCTAACATCCCATCTTTAAAAGCATATAGATGATAGAAATCAAATATCAAATCGATTATTTTACCCCATCCTCATTCATATGGTGACGACTACACAATATTACATCCTTGAATACTCAGCAATCGAATGCGGACGAGATCCCCATCAATAATCCAATACGAAGGGGGGAATCTCTCTCTCTCTCTCTCTCTCTCTCTCTCTCTCTCTCTCTCTCTCTCTCTCAAACACACGCACGCACGCACGCAAACAGCACATGACTAAAAGAAGAATACCATAGAGAATCTACAGTTTATTTGGCATCGACACCAGAAAAACCCCGACTCCAAAAGTAGATGCTTTTCATGAACTTAATGTTCGAACAAGGATCGGTATCGGAGTGTCACCATCCTCACAATTTCACTGACTAGTTAATAAGATTATATCGCATGCAAACACCATCTGCAATATGTTGGATCATGCTTGGCATGTCCTCGACTGAGCGATTAAATCTTTGCCCAAGGTGTGAATTTCTGAAAAAGACATACGAACTTCCCTTTCCTGAAGGCACCCTACAGACGCATGTCCACCTACGATGAATACGATGCCCCACCCGAGAATGAAATGAAGATATGATTTCGTGAGAATTTAAACAGTAGAGAAATGTGAACCCATGATTACATATCCCACAAAATACTCCAACAGTGAAGGTGAGAAAAAAACAGCATCGTCAATCAAGGATACGCTTGCAAAATCCAAGGAGGAAGAGAACACCGTCTTAAACTTATCATAAAAAACGCCCTCCTCAATGCTTAAATCGTACCATACAGCTGGAACACCTACCCACACACACAAACACATTGCAAAACACAGACATTGCCCTCTCCTAGCTACCAAAACCAGCTGAAATCACCCCCGCCAAACCCTGAGAAACCCCATCTCTCGTGGTTCTTTTAACGTTTCTCTTTTGTCTCGAACCTCATTCCTTCTCGGCTCACACAACCAAAGTACGACTACAAGGGCCGCTGGGTCGCGCTTTGAAACGGTGTACGGTCCTTAATCAGCTTTTCCGCCAGTGATTTTATGGGCAAGGCGAGGGAGAACCGACCGAAGCGCAACCGAAGGAACGTGGCAAATTAGACTACGATTCGCTAATCAGCTCACTGTTTCCATAATCGCTTCCCTAATGTCGAGACAACCGATCGAATGCCAAGCGATCAAAGGCCTCCAGAACAGCGTAATTAAGGGAAATAGACATTATTTCATGGCATAATATGCGTACCTTCTTAATTGACCCATTCCCACTAATCTTCTTCAACTTCTTCTTCTTCTTATTCTTGTTCTTCTTCTTATGAATCTTCCCCACGGCTGACACGCGAGCCCACACAGTGTTTTTCTTCTTCTTCTTCTTCTTCTTCAACTTCTTCTTCCTCAAATTCACAGCATCCGTCGCTCTACGACGAGACCTGTCTTCTCGCCGTTCTTCTTCTTCTTCTCCTCCTCCTCCTCCTCCTCCTCCTCCTCCTCCTCTTCAACAACGGTCGAGTCCTCGCCGCCGCCAACCCTCTGGACCTGCGGCGACATGGCGAAGATCTCGACGATGGAGCGCTTCTTCGGCGCTCTCGGCTTGGCCTTCGCCTTCGTCTGCCGCTTCTCCTCCTGCCTGGCGAGACAACCGTCGACGTGCTCGTTCACGGCATTCACCGTAGCCGCCGTCTGGACGCCACAGACCGGACAATCGAAAGTGATGATCTCCGATCTCGGCGGCTCCCCCGAGCTCCCCCGTGGCTCCTCGAAGCCGGACGACCCCCTGGAGACGAAGCCGCGCGCGCCTCGCGGGGGCGGCACGTCGGGGTCCTCATGGGTTGATCTGGCGATCTCGAGCTCGCGCGACCACCAGCGGAACTTGGCGACGGGCATGGGAGGGAGGAGCGACTCCGCAGCTTCCCGAGCGATCGCGCCGTCGCCGCCGCCGCCACCGAACGGCCAGCATTTCGCGATGTCCTCGCTCCTCATCTTCAAGGCGTACTCCCTAGAGCACCAAGAAAAACACCCCCCACCCACAAGATTAGGAGACACAGAGAGAGAGAGAGAGAGAGAGATCATGCATGGGAAAGAAGAGAGAGAGAGACTTACCGGATGGAGAATCCTCCGAATGAACCCGCCATGGTTCCTCAGCTAAGGACGCAGGCGAATCGCCCGCGAAAGAGAGGAAGAGAGAGAGAGAGAGAGCTAGCTCTTCTTGGGCGAAGGAGATGGACAGCAAAGGTCATCCATCACGTGGGAAGCGAAAGCGGGAGAGGGAGACATGGGAGAGGCTCCTCTTCTTCTCCTCCTCCTCCTTCGTCTCCTCCTCCTCCTCCGTCTTCTTCTTCTTCGTCAATGGAGGAAGCATTTGGGGTCCTCGCCACGCCTCGCTTTCGCTTTGCCCCGATGCGCAGATGATGAGAGAGAGAGCGTAGAGAGAGAAAGTGTGGGAGGGGGAGGTGTTGTTTTCCCGCTCTGTGGCCTGGGGAGATGGAGAGAGATTGGGGGGAGGGGGAGGAGGAAGTGATGATAGCTTTACCTTTCCCTAATTTATGACTGACAGCGACCTATGAGACCCCCCCCCAAAGGCGAACCGCTGCTCTTAAAGTAAGCTCGTCTCAAAAAATAAAAAGAATATTTCCTCTTGCCCCCTTCCCCATCGTCCTTTTCTCCCATTTCCTCTCTCAACAATATTTAACTCCTTGGAAATGTTTTCCATTTCGAAAACATCGATGCTCCGCGGAATAAAATTTTTGTACCCGGGACCACCCCCATTGTCTACCTCCCTGCCCCCAAAAAAAAGATCTTTTTATTTATTTATTTATTTATTTTGATAATGTTATGTGTGTTCGATACGATTTCGACTGTGGAGTTTATACGCTCATCATCGTGTACATGCAATCTCCTTTGCCCCTCATGTAAGCTTTAGGCCGATTTGGGATAGGCTTCTTCCGAACATGGCACCAGGGTCGGGTTCCGACTCGACTCATTTCGCGTGCGCGTTGACCAAAGGTTGACGTCGAGTTACAATCACCCTCCACCTAAAAACTTAAATATTTGGATTGGATTTATTATCATAAATATTTATGTGATTGTTCTTAATTTATTATAAAATTGGCAGCTTGATTTGGACCTTCGAAACTATTGTGAGTTTATTTTTTTAAAAATTTGTGACTCACAGTATCCTGTTACATCTTATATTTTCCAGAATGCTGTAGTATATGTATTGTCGAATGGGATTTAATGCTCTCTTTGTTACTTTTTTTTTTTCCTCTCCATCCAATCAGGGCCCTTCGATCTGGGACAGCGCGGGTACCAAACGCACGGGAGTAGATCTAGGGGGGGCCTTCTGATGGGGACTAGGATGTCTTATTACGTGTCGAGATACGGTTAGCCTAGCGCAACAAATCCCGACCGTAACTCTCCACGCGCTCTCAGCTAGGCGCGTGTTTCGCAGGATAGACAGATTCGCGCGCGCTCCTCTACCTTTCTTGCAACTACGGAATGGAATCTGAGCAACCTACTTCTCGAATAATGCTGCAAACTATTAGGATTTAATCTCCTATTATATCCTATTATAGCTAGTACTATCGAACTAGCGAATTTCAATTTCTTTTTGCTCAAATTATAAGACAATTCGTATGAAGAAATTGTATTTTAGGAGACCCCTCTTGTAATATGGAAGTAGCCTTTTTACCATGCAAATCGATAAATCATTTGTTTGTTTATATATCAGGCGGGGGAAATGACCACGATACATTCTAACGTTTCCTATAAATTTGTGATTTTACCCTCCGTTTATCATAGATGTATCAGTTTGTGATTTTTCGTGGTATTAATTCAATTTAACGGAAACTGACGAAGGATAAATTTGTTACAAATGTACTAGTTTTGGAGTTTTTTTTTTGTGGTCAAAAAATTAATTTGGGGTCTATTTGTTACAGGTGTACCAATTCGGGATTTTTTGTGGTCAAAAAATTAGTTTTTGAGTTTTTCATGGTATTAACCCTATTATATATCACATATCTAGTATTATCGAAATAGCGAATTTCAATTTCTTTTGTTAAGATTAGAAGACGATTCGGATTAAAAAATTATATTTTAGGAGACCATTTTTGTGACCAGGAAGTAACTTTTTTATCGTGCAAATCGGTAAATCCTTTCTTCGTTTATGTATCCGACCGGTGAAATGATTGCGATACATTTCAATGCTTCCCAGAAGTTTATCGTAACTTTTGACAAACTAAGCATATTTCGAAACTTCGACAAAAAAAGAAGAAGAAGCGTATTTCAGAGCTTAAGATGGCTTAATCCTATAGATAGTTGTGCTTTTCCAACGCATAAGCAAGCAAGTTTTTAAACCAATACTCATTTCGCAATGTTCTCATGTGTTTCGAGATGAAATCAATGTAAATAGCCCTCTAACATCTATGCTGTGTGTAAATTTCGAATTCTGACGTCCATCCCTTGAATTACTATCACCCACTTACGTTAAAATCGAGTCTAGTTTTAGTGATGGCTTCGGTCAATTTAATCCCAAGATTTCAGTCCATCGAGGCCGACGACAACTAGAAACATGGAGGGAACCGTTTATTAGAACATAAAATCGATGGCACATGCGCAGATAGCGCGTGCATAAAGGCTAGTTTTCATCGCGAATTACTTACTAATCCGGAAGAACAAGTGATATCGACACCATCCATATCAATATATGGAGGCATTATTAATCTAGGCAACTGCAGAACTTTCATAAGTCAATACGTGACTACTTTTCCTTTTCCTTTTTGGCCGTATCTCGCGAGTCATTAGTCAACCAATTTGGAGGAACAATTAGTGGATCAATCTACGGACGACTGCATTAAGTGAAGTCTTTGGATTGAAACGACAACAAAAATAGTTCTAAAGACCATAACCAAAGGAAATATTTTACGCGTTTTTATCAGGTCAGTCTTCGGGGTAAGAAACAATCCACTTACTCCCACTTTGGATTATTGACATTCGAAATAATTCGATTGCCAGGCTAACTCTAAACACGCGCGTCACTCACCTAACAGTAAATGGTGTAAGTTCCTCGTCACGCCGGAGATGAACCTAATCGATAAATCCGTGCATTATTCGATCCCTTGTGCACAATTAACTAGTATAACTACCTATTTACGATGAATGAGCATGATTCATCTTAGCAAAAAGCTAAAAGTGTACATATAGAAAGGTCGACAAATCATTTCTTTTGTACATAACATTGTTTGCTGTACACAGCACAGAAATGTTGTTTCGAATCAATTATTTACCGTGAAATTAAAAATAAATAAAAAAACGAATATTAATTTGCTATATAAGCAAGTTGCCTCATGGGAGCAAGTGTTTCCATTTATGTGCTGCATCATCTGACGCACGTGCTGCGTCGTATGAAGCGAAGGATTTTTTGTTCCGACTGCTTTTGTATCGTCAACCATAACCAAGCGACTGTCCTCCCGCTCACGCTTTGCCGCGGCGCGTGTGGTTCACGAGGGACCACTTCGATGGGTGAGCGCAACCTACTTTACCTACTTACAAAGTACATCATTTAGCAACAAAAAAAAGTACATCACAATTTTTGCTGAACTGGTTATATACAAGCTTTCCGAAAAATAAATAATTGATTTAAAAAATATTTCCTAAAAGCAATCATTTAAAACAATTAATCGATAAAAAAATATTTTCATTATCGACAGGTCGTTCATTTTTAGGAAAATATTTTTTTGAATCATTTATTATTCCAAAGCAAATAGAGCCTCGAACGTGGGTTTTTGTTGTACTGACGCCTTCAATCTAAAGAAATGTTTCCATCGTAATAGAATTTTTTTGCGAGAGAACCTTCAAATATATATGAAGGCACAATCTCTGAAACTATTCGAAATTATCCACATAAACCCTCTTTTTTAATTTTGAAATATGAAAAGGCTTAGATAGTTCACGACAATACGTTGATTGTACTTGTTAAACATATGAAATTCATTACGTGAGGTATGATATTACTTATATTCTTTACTGAGATATTTATTATCAAAAAGAATTGTATAATAAATTTATAATTGGTTAAGGAACATGTCTAAGCAAATCTATAATTGGTCGTTTACAAATATAGATATCACCGAGATTTATTTTTGGCAGAGTTTGCATGCATAAAAATGCTTCGCATCAGTGGAATGGCCGGAGGATGTCCATATTTATAACTTATGAATAAGTAATTAAGAGGAATGTTCTCCAATTAAGGATTAGGAAAGCATGACCAATTAAGATTGGAGAATTCGAGTTGTGAAGGCCTAGTGCTTAAAATGGACGCTACATTTCTCTATTCAGAATTCATGGAAGCTTTGTCCAATTAAGATTCCGATCCATGTGCTGTAAGTTGTGAATGATGGCCACAAGTAAATTTCTCCCAAAGTAATCCATAGGCATTTCTTTATAAGAAGAAATAAGATATAGAATTAATACGTCGAAAAATCTCAAACTGACACACTTATGACAATTTTATCCAAAACTAAATCTTTGACTATAAAAAATCCTAAATTGATACATTTATAATAAATTTACTTCAAATTAATTTTTTGACCATCAAGAACCCACAGCTAGTACATCTGTGATAAATTTATCCTCTATTAATTATGGATACACCTATAGGAGTAAACTCTAAATTGATACATCTGTAATTATCATGTGTCATTAAATTTAATAATGTGATGGTAAAATTTATGTCAAGTGTAATTGTTTGTGGTCTTTCACGATGTTATTAATAAAATATAACTTCCCAAGCTTGGCGACGTGTCTTGAGCAACTCCCCACCAAAAACCTAATCACCGAGCTGCCCCCACGTGTACCAGTGGGAACTTGGGGACCCGACAAGCGAGTGTGGGCCACCTGCAGACGTGACGTGGAGGGGAGAGGGTGGTGGGGGTGGGGTGTCAAAGGAGGTAATCGATGGGATGGACGACAATCGCTGTTTTTTCACTTTCTTTTTTCTAACATGAGGAATGAACAGTTCGTGCGATGATACCGAGACAAGGACACCAAGCCCCAAAAACCAATATGCTCCCTCCCGCCCTCCAGCAACTTGCACGTCAAGAGGTTAAAGGCTGAAACCCAATTTAGCCAGAAGAAAACCACCCCCCAAGAAATTGCGTTGCCCTTCAGACAACGAGACTGTTGTCTCCTCTCTCTCTCTCTCTCTCTCTCTCTCTCTCTCTTGCGCAGTGACAGTTCCAAGAAGGATTTGATCATATCCGACTCCTTTCGATTAGGCATCATAACATATCCAGCAATGGATACGAAGGCTGCAAGCAATGTGTGGTGTCGGTCTCTCTAG